AGACAGACAGACAGACAGACAGACAGACAGACACAGACAGAGAGACAGAGACAGACAGAGAAACAGAAAGAGACAGAGAGACAGAGAAACAGACAGAGACAGAGACAGAAAGAGATACAGAGGGACACAGAGACAGAGATAGTGCAGAGAGATACAGAGATGCAGAAAGGCACAGAGAGTGTGAGAGGAAGGAAGAGAGAAAGAGAGAGAGAGGATTAGATAATTATGACCACTGGTGATCAGGGACTGTCCCGACTGCATACTGAGACAGCCAATTAAGCCATCAGGATGTCAGTAAATGGTAACCAGCCTCTGACCTCAAGAAGTCCCACCACCAAATTCAAAAGTCTCACCACAAGTGCCTGAGACACACTGGACAATTCCATGTCCCTCCCTGGCCTCTGGGCACTTGCTCAGCAGGGGCTCAGGGAGCGCTCTCAGCATGGTGAGGAAGGGGTAGGATTTGTGTGGTCCCACCCAGGAACTGGGAAGTCTTTCCAGCCCCTGTCCCCTCCTAGGTAGGAACTTGAGCCCATAGAGCCAGGCTGGTCCCCTAATTCTTAAAGAGGCTGCCATCTACCTAGAGGAAGGAAAAAGCCTCCCATGTCACAGAAATGACTGTACAAACTCACAGCAGAGCTGCCCTACCTGGGCACCACTTGCCCAGGAGTGGTCAGCATGCCTTAGAGCTCTAACTTAAAAGTGGTTTGTGCCTGTGCATGGAATGTGTGTGTGTGTGTGTGTGTGTGTGTGTGTGTGTGACTAATTTCAGATTTAATCTGACCAAGATGGCCAGGGACAAGGCAAAGTCCCCAAGGCAAATCAAACCAGCACCTTTGAGTGACAGAGCTAATTTTAGATGGTGTAGTGGAGCTGTGGTGACTCCAAGTAAACCCAGCACGCAGGGACTGGCAGAGTTCCCGCCCTGAGAGTGTTTGGATGCAGATTAGCTCCACACATGCTTACGTGCTGGCTTTCTCTTGCTTATGCAATTTGGGAAAAGAAACTCTCTCTCTCTCTCTCTCTCTCTCTCTCTCTCTCTCTCTCTCTCTCCCCCCCCCCCCCAGTTTGAGGTATGCAGAGGCCTGGAGGCAGCACCGGTGCAGGCAGAGCAGACAGCACCTGGCTCCTGCCAGGGCTCAGCTGGGTAACCCAGGGCAGGCTTCTCATCAGTCACTTGGGGACAACCTGCTTCACGGGATGGCTGGGGCCCAGGGGATGATACTGCACAAGCAGCACTTGGCGCAGAGCCTGGCCCAGTGGAGGCATAGGTGCCCTCATTAATCATGCTAGTCTTTCCAGAGGCATTTTGGCCCAGCTGGCGTGTGCCCTGACATCCGTAGACCTGGGATGGAGCCGACCACTTTCCTGTGTGATCTGTCTTGGGGAAGCCGCCTAATTACCCTGAGCCTCAGCACCCTGATCTGGAAAGTGAAGCCAACACTTTCTTACCAGACCACTGTGAATACTGCATTCACAGGAGGCAGCCCTCTGACTGGCAGCTCACATGAGAGCTGAAGAGTGACTGGTCACTATTGCTTGCTAACCCAGTGTTTCTGTCTGCAGGCCCAGGGAATGCTGGATTGGATCAGCGGTTCCCCAGGAAGCTGGTAGCTTTCCACTGCTCCCACCCTTGTAGCTCCCACCTGGGTGCCCATGGATGCTCACCCAGGAGTGTTCACCCAGATGATGTCCAAGTGGCAGAAGTAGACACATTCCTTGTCAAGCCAGGAGCTGCAGGAGCAACGGCGAAACCTCAGGTGCGTGCCTCGGGCCCTGGATGAAAGCCCCTGCTGCTTCAGTGTGGAGGTAGCCTGGCCCTTCCCTGCATGCACAGGAAGGAGAGAGAGGCATAGAGGAGTCAGAGTCCCCAGCTGGTCAGGAGTAGGGGACCTGCCAGGCTCCTCCTCCTGCAAGATCGAGGAAGTTGGCACTCTCACCACTCAGGAGCTCCGCACCAGCTCAGGGAAGCCCTGTAGTCCCATGGGAGGGGTTGGTGGCCCTGAGCCTGTGGCACCCATGCATGTGCACAGTGCCCACTAAGCCACACCAGCTCCTGCTGGTCCTCCTCCCTCAATGGACTCTAGGGGAGATACTGGTGGAAGGACCCAGAGGCTGCAGCAGCAGGTAAGGCCAGGGCAGCTCACCTTCATGCAGGACCACAAGCAGAGCTAGAGTGATGGAGCCCCAGGCTGCGAGTGTGGAGACCATAGCAACGATAGAGTGCAGCACTGGACCGGAGCAGGGAGCGCCTGTTGCCAGCGTCCTGCTGCTAAGCCGAGCTGGTAGCTCATTGCCTCTGCTCCTGCTGCCTCTTATAACACCAGGCACTGTGCCCCGCCCCTGCTGGTCCACCCCACCCGCCTGGCTGCACCTTGGGCCCAGAGCCAGGGACACCGCCTCCTCCTTGGTGCCTGGCCCGCCCTAGACTCTGTGGGGAGGGGGAAGGGGGAAGGCATCTCTCCTCCCTCTGTGCCCAAGTACCTATGGGAGTTCTGAGGCTCCTCTGCAGCCTCCAGGGAACCCCCCCATCCCCACTGGACTTCTTCAAGACACCCTCAAAATACCCTAGGCCCTCTATTGCACTCTCTGGTGCTGCTTCACAGGCCTTGTCAAGAGCTGAGTTGGAGCGGGAGGTCTCACGAGCAAAGCCTTTTCCTCTCCTTCACAGAGATCCCCCTGCCTGCTCAGTGCTACCAGGCCGAAGATGCTGCTCTGCTGTGTGGGTGGTGAAAGGCCATTGAAGGCTGTGTGGCCTTGGGCGAGTCAGAGCCCTCTCTGGGCCTGCTTCCCTCAGTGAAGGACACAGCTCACACCTAACCCCTGACTAGCCTGGGGCTGTCTCATCCCCATTTTTCCTAGGAAGTGCTGCCCACCCCCTCCTCTCCCACCACCTCAGGGCACAGAGCAGGGCATCTGGTCTCTTCTGGAAGCTATTTGGCTGTGTGGCTATGGCCAAGGATATCCATCCTGGGCCTCAGTTACCTTACCTGCAAGACAGGCCAAAAGAGAATGTTTCCTGTCCTGTGTGGCTCAGAACCTCTCTTGAGACCAAAGGAGGCTCCAGAGTCTTTCCAAAAAGATGCCCTGGTGAGCCTCTTAAGTGGGACAGGATGGCTACCTTGGCTTGCCACAGTGGCTGCTTCATGCAAAGGAGGGAGCCAAGGATGAGGCAGGCTGAGGGCACTCGTGGGCTTGGCATGCTGGTCCTGGCTGTTGTGTTAGCTCAGAAGAGACAAGAACAGGGGTGCCCTGGCACTGAGCTGACTACCCTGGGGAACTAGCAGCCACTCTGTGCCTGCCAGTCCTGGCTCGGAGTTGATCTCCAAATCATCTTCTTGGGGATTTCAACTTTAGGCTAACAGAAGAAATCTTCCTTTGCTCAGTCAGGCTGCCTGACTCTTGGTGTGGGGTCTATCTCCAGCACTCTTGAGGCCTTATTGTGGCCCTGCACACAGTAGGTCTTCAGTGCTTCCTGCAGGAGAGGGATGAATCACAACAGGTCTGCTTGAAACTATGGGGCCAGGCACCCAGTTTTTCTTTCCTGTATTCAGCAATTTTAGTTTCCATAGTAGGTATTCATGAAGAATAACAGGAGACTCTAAAGGCTGGGTAGTTGTGCCTCTTCCCAGGGTGCATCTGAGAGCGCATGTGTATGTAGGAGCTGGGTGAAGTGGGGCCAAGCCCCTAGGGGACCAGATTTATCCCCATCCTCCTCCTCCCCACAGGGTAAGGCCAGACACAGTAGGAATGAGAATGAACACTTGTTGAGCACTTACTGTGTGCTCAGCACACCTTGCATCCCTCAGGCCATCCATAAGGCAGCCCTTACCACCTGGTGTCAGAGTCATGGAAGCACGCAGCTGGTACATGGCTGAGTTGCCCTCGGAGCCCCATCCTGGGCTCTCAAGCAAGCCACAAGTGACTCCCCATGTGGGGCACTCTGCCCTCTCCCATGTCATGCCTCTAAGAATTCAGAAGAACATTTCTGGAATGAGGTGAGCAATGCTCCCAGTCATTTCTATTAGCCTGGGGGTTGGGGGCTCAATACAGGCTTGAGCAAGCAGGGCTGGGGGTACAAACTACTGAGGCGGAAGAGAAGAAGGCAGCAAAAGCAGGGCCTGGGAAGGAGGGGGTCAGGGGAGAGGAAAACAAACAGGGAGGCAGATAAAGACAAGTAGGGAGCGAGCTGCAGAACAAGGAAGCAGAGCCAGCTAGTGAGAAAGCAAGACCTCGGAAGACCATAGGGAGTCAGAGGCAAGGTTCTAACGTGTCTAATCTTTACACAAATGCAAAACGCCTGCCTGGGACAATAGGGAACCAGAGGCTGTAAGTCTGGGGAATATAATAGAAGAATTAAATGGACCAGAGACAGGATCCCTCCTTGGCGTAAAAGGGGGTGACGACAGGGCAGAGGCTGTCGCCCAGGCCTCATGGGTCAGAACAGGAGCTGCGACAGGGCTAGGCTCTGGTTTCCACCCTTCCCCACACCAGGCCCCAGGGCAAGGGGGGCTCCTGTGAAATGGGGAGGCCTGCCCCAGGAACTGAGCGAACCTGGTCTCAGGGTGAAGCCTTTCCTGGAATAGTGCTACTCCACTGCTGGCTTCCAGGTAGAGAAAATTAAGCTGCATTAAAAATAGCCAGTGCCAGCCCCCTGGATGTCTTAGCTTGGGCCTGACAGCCATCTCAGCCCTTCTGGTTGGGTGGGTATGCTCTCCTTGCACCTTCTAGGTAGCCACTGCCATCTGGCCTGTCCCTCTGACCCTGCAGCTCCAGCCCCACAACTGGCCCAGCTGCCTGCCCTGCTGCACCCTAACCCTGCCTGTTTTTAAAGGCTGCAGAGAGAGCAGGGAATCACCAAAGGTCACCCTGCCAGAAGCTGTGAGAACTTGAAGGGAACTGCTTCACACACAGAGGAGGATTCCTGTGCTTTGAACCAGCCCAGCTTGAGAAGGAGAGACCTGATGGGAAGGAAGCACCGGCAGAAGAGGCCAGGAGGTGTGTGTTGGGGTAAAGTGCAAGGGATTGTCCTGTAGAAGTCCCCGGTCTTCCCCTGCATAGGGTAGGTAAGATAACTGGGGCCCTAGAGGAAGGGCACTTGCTCAAGATAGACATAGGACTGGGCCCAACTGTGCCTGGGATACTGGAGCCTGGAAGAGATATCAGAGGGATCCCACTGGCGGAAAGGCCAGGGCCTTGTTCTGGGTCTGAGTGGGCTCTCTGTGTACCCCAAAGCTCCCTTCATGATCCCTGCACTAAAGGGAAAGACAGCTCCACCAAGCAGCCACCTACCAGGCTTGAGCACCGCACAGGGGCCTGCAGCTAGCCCAGGCCAGGAGGTAGAGTCACAGGTGTGCTGCTGTCACTGCATGCCTCTGGGCTAGTCTTGGCCTTTCCCTGGCCTCAGTCATCCTGCCTTCCCACTGACAGCAAGAAGTGCTTTCGGCTCTGCCAGTGGCATTCGAACCCAGCTGACCTGGCTTAGAGCTCTGCAGCCGGAGGCCCTGGAGACTGGCTGTACAGCTGCTGCTCTCAGTGTGGGGTCTTCTGCTCTGTCCCGTCTGAAACCAGTCATTTCCCCATTGGTTCCCAGCCCTGCCAGCTTTCAGGAAGTTCTGGTTGTGGCCCTGAAGGAAGGGACACAGTGTCTTGGGTGCAGGCACATACCATGCCTACGACTTAGCCAAGGGAGGAGCTGGGAAGAGAGGCTGGGAGCCGTGGGCAATGATAGACTAGGAAGGTGCTGACCTTAAAGCCAGCCTGGGCTGGGGGCTTGGTGGCCTTGGGTGAGGGTCAGATGTGCTGTCACTACTTGTCCCGACTATAGATTGGGCTGCTCCTCTGTGTGCCCGGGGGCCACTCATCCTCTTTCTTGTGGGTGGTCTGGGCCTCCTGCCATCTGCCACAGCTCACCCTGAGCCCACAAGGCCTGCCACCACCCACACTATCATCCTTATGCTGAGTCTTTGCAAGGGCAGCCTCAGCCCTGTAGGACCAGCTCCCCTGACCCTCGTGGCCTCTTTGAAAGACACCTCTTGTTAGTTCTCCCCCTCCCTCTACCTCAGCCCATTTGGGAAGATTTATGTTTCCCACATAAATTGTACTTTAAAGGAATAATTCATATGCTTTGTTTGTGATTAATCTAAGAATAATCAGAACAGGGTCATCGAGGCCCATAGAAATGTTGGAATTTTAGCTGAAAACAGATGTTGTTAAGTCAAAGCACCCAGGGCAAGTGACCATGTGAGTCTTAGACATTTTGAAATAGGAAAATCATTTTAGGGACTCAGCATTTTGGATGGGCATCTCTGGAATCCAAGTTTTTGACGTCTCTCTTGGTGCTAGGGCCCTGGTTCCCCACTCAGACTTTCAGGAGTACAGGATATATGAGCATTTATTGAGAAATTGCTATATCCCAGAGGCTAAGTGACTCATCCAATGTCAGACAGCTAGGAAGTGGCAGGGCCAGGACTGGAAAACAGGCCTGTGTCTGGTGTGTCCCCAGGGTATTCTCCTGACTCCCCAGCCTTTGATGAGCCCTCCACAGCTGTTCTCCTCCAAAAACACCTCCCTGCTTGAACCAGGAACAGTCCCATAGACCTTCGGAAGGTTTGGGAGCTCAGAAGCAGAGGCAGTCTCTTATCTGTGTCCCTGAAAAAAAAAAAAAACACACATGGTGTAGCCCATGCCCAAGATGCCCTTGGCTGAGGTTTGGCCACAGCTCTTACATAGGCATCAATAGTCTATTATTTCACTGGATCAGCAAAGCAGTCTTGAGGATTCATCTATAATTGAGATGATTCTCATTATAGGTGAACCCCAAAGGCTGCGACTTGCTTGCACAGTGACACACAAGGAAAGACTGGGACTTTCCCTGCTATACCCATGTACTACAGCACCAACAGCCTTACAGCCTGTCTATCCAATCATTCTTCGTCTGTCTACCTTCTCATTCATCCATCCTCTGTTTACCTGTTGTCTAACCTTTCACACATTCTCCTACCCTTATGGCTGCCTACCAGTCTCTGATGTGCCCACACTTTTTCTTAAGAGGTGAGATGAGAGAGAGCAGAAGGGTCAAAGTTTGAAGAGCTTTGCCTAGCAAGTCAGCCTTTCCTAGAGACCTTACCTGATTATTTCTGAGGGAGAGGTCCATCCCTCCAGCAGATGGTGAGCTCACTGATGCACGGTCTTGTCTGGGATCCTCAGCCCAGGGCCTGGGCACATGGTCCATGTCCAAGGCAGGGGAGAAGTAGAACACAAC